TGATTAAATTACAATGTTAAAAATATGAAATTATACAAACTATTTTTTAAATGGTCTGAGTAGTAAGTGGTAGCCTAGTAGTAGCTGTATACTTATATATTAATCTTACAACAAGAAATTATTATTAAACCAATTTATGAAGCACGTAAACATACATAAGTGTTGACGTGTTGTCTATCTTATAATTACAGTAAAGTGCATTTGAGATTTTATTATTTGATGTAGTTATAATTAAACAAAAACGTATTAATCATATTTTTAAAATTAAACTTGTTTTATTTGATGAGATTATACTTGAAAAAGGAAATCTTTAAGTTTAATCCTAAATACATTGCTTACAATAAATGAATACGAACATAAACGAAATTGTGTGCCACTTCTCAGTAAGTATATATACAAACAATTTCAAATTTAAGGTGAACCATTGAGTGTTGGGTTCTAAAACAACTTTGATCACATTTTATAATTAGATATTCTCAGAAATTGTTAAAATACATACATTATTGTTCACCTTAGTTTCTACATTCTTGATATTTTTGAAAAATTTAAGGCAATTTGCTCARGTAATCTACAAATTTAGAGCTGCTGTATTAAGAAAATGTAACGTTTTTAGTGTTTTTACTACTCCAAAGAGTGTTCATGAAAATTCCTCGAAAGAAATATGTTTTAATACTCAAAATTTGTTGAAGTACCTCCGATGGGAGCCTCTTCCCACAGTCTATTCTGTCTGTTTAGTACTATTTTTTTATCAATTAAGCTTATTGTTCTACTTTTGTAACAGATAGCATAATATAGAATTTTGTTAGAAAAAAAAAAGCTCAAAATCTAAAATGATATAGCATTGACACGTGAATGTAAATTGTTTGTTGCATATAAATGATTTACAAGTTTACTGACCTACTAATTTCACTGATCTTACGAACGCTTCGAGTATCATGATATATAAAAACTCGGTAATTTTTATGAACCTGGGTTGAGTATCAATATAGTATGATACTCAGGTTTTTATAAGAGTTTCTGATATAAAAAATTTCCTAAATATACTCGTATATGGTATATAGGTACCTATCATACATAAAATATAATCTCGAAAAATGTAGAGTATCATAATATATACGATCTGAGAACAATGATAACGCAAACATAATATAATATAATGATAATTACCTATACTCTGATAATATAGAATATATGTTGTTGAAGCAGGATGATGAAAATAGAATTTAATATAAAAATTTTTAATAAAGAGTGATAAACTGTAGAGAAAAAATCCGAGCAACATGACAACAGACAAATTGAAAAGGATGTGTACGGAATCGGATTAATAGTGCTGTGCAGAGAATAAATTGAGAAAGATCAGATAAGTTTTTTTTTATCGTACTAAAATAGCTTTGTGTTTAAAAATTCATTCATTTTATATATATGATACATAAATTTATATAAAAAAAAAAAATAAAATGGATAGACATTTAAAGACAATAATATATAGAACCGAGAGATTACTATAAAGAGAGTAAGCGTGCACTATACGAGAAATGAGGATATAGCTAGATGTCTAGGTCTCTAAGACATCGTACATTGGTATATATTACATTTTTTATACACACAAACGAAGAGAACTCATCATATAGTTTTTTAATGGAATATCTGTGTGGATTTAAATACATTTAATACATTTAAATTATAAAAATTGTTATAAATTACTAAATCACATCTTCGAATTTATGCTCTTCGAAATAATTTCAAATAATCTAAACGAATTTCAAGTGTAATATTATTATCTTCTAAGTTACARTATAATAAAGGATACAATTAAGAAACTTAATCTGTACTTGTTTATATAAATACTATATTATACTAATATTTATRTAAATGTTTATGTAAATACTGTATTCCTAAAAATTGTTAACCTTAAACTYCTTGTATCCTAATGTTCACAGACGCCGAGACTTATTTATTTAAATGAAAAAAAATTAAATTTAAAAACTTATCACAAAGTTTTTAGAGTACCTATCTACTTGTTCAGCTTCTTATCTAATWAAGATGGTCCCACACATCAAAAATTTAAAACAAACAAAAAAATTGCACAATAACACGAACAATCATGATAAAACCAATAAATTATTCGATTCACTTACAATTTAAATGTAGCATTGGACTGTCAAGAGTTGTGCAACTAGTATTTTTTTTTTTTGTACAACTTTTCGCTATTTTGAACTTTGCTAAAAATAATAAATAACATTTTGAAATTTCAGTTTTTTTTTCAACGAAAGAAAATCTTTTTGTGGATCATTAAATATAGTATTAGACTATAATACGCGTTCACTAATTAAAGTTTTTTTCCTCGACTAACGCATATAATATAAGTTAATTAAAAATAATACGCTTTATCAAACATTTAAACCTCTGTAAATAGAAATGGATTAAGAAAATAAGCTGGTGTACACGTCAGYCATGTAGGTACCTACAACCTACGTATACAATATAATATCTCTGGTAGCTAGTGCAAATACAGTTGTAATAGTAATGGGTGTTTTTATCTCAACATTTCATTTGACGCAATGGTTTTCGAGAGAAAATACATAACTAACTCTAACATTACAACTGTAATGTATAATAAGTATATGTATATGGAAATGGAATAAATTGTGATGTGGCGGTGGTGGGGAAAATCACTCAAGGGACGAGGGACCTAAAAAAACGGTGACGGGAACGTGAATGAAAAAAATTATTGACAAAAAAAAACAATAATGATGATAATAATAATAAATCAAAAGCGATTTGATGGTACGCTGTTGAATTCAAAAATGWGTGCAAATACGATTCATCGTAAAACCGTGTGGTACGTGTCAAAAAAAACAAACGGTACGAAATCGTACGCGTTGAAATCAAAATGCACAAATAAAATAACACGTGTAAGACATTTTATTTATGTAGGATGATGGCGACAATGTCTTAATATT